TTGAAATTTGTTCCTCGATCTTGCAAACCTTGCACTTTTGTACAAAACAATTTTAAGAACATTTTGAACCACGTTTTGATTGGCTGATCAAAGCGATTAACGAGAGCGAACAATTTTTTTCGACTTTCGGCGTCTTGTTGTCTATTTTGTATACTTGTTGGCTTTCCAAAGTCATTGTTTGTTTTACAATAGCTAAAATTGCGAGTCTTACTCACTGAGCTGTATAATAACTGGAGGACCTGCTCCTATACTTCGTTCAGTCATCGAAGTGAAGCCAAAAACATGGCGGATTTTGAGTGAAAATGACGCCATTTCCATGACAACACTTACTTTATTTTCATGGTAGGTACCACTGACCAGGCTCAATTCTGAGCCCACGGCCGTTTTCACACACCCCTGGTTTTTGAAAAAAAGTTTTGCAGATATTATAGTTCTCGTGGTTTTGAATCGGTTTTTAAAATTTTTTTGATATAAATTTTCTACCTTTGACTATTTGGACAAAGATATGCAAGTCGTTCGTGTTATTCTCGCCCGTGAAAGACGACAGACAAATTTAAAACCTCAAGAAATGTGGGAAAAGACTTGAATATGGATTTTATACAAAGGGTAAGGGACAAATTTGCATATTTCAATTTTTTAATATTTAGACTTTACCTGATTTGACATGAAAATGATAAGCATAACGATGAAACTGACACTCTATTTGTTAATAAAACAACTTCCTGTGTAATACACATGGTAAAGTGTAAAATTTCCCACTATTTCACTAATTTTCGCAAGCTGGGTCTTTGAAGTGCGAACTGTCTAGTGTATTAATAATGTTTAAAAGGTTGACTCCTGAGGTCTCGTTTTATAAACAGACATAAACCTCATTTCCAGGATGGCCTGTTTTCTTACATATGTTTTCTCAGTAAATATCACTCTGAATGAGCAATGTACCTTTATAAGTGCACTCATAGTTCTGATACCCCTTGTTTAAGTTGAGGAGTTTGGTCACATTCTTTTGTTTACTCTACCTTGATCATATGCTAATTATGTTACTGGAGGATTTTTGTACAACCTACATAATTAATCTACTCTTGTTTGTTGCAGATTTATTCCACAATGACACACTCCTTTCTGGGTGGCAAGTTACAGTACCAAGCCTGGCAAGCTGGACATATCTTTGGAAACTGAACATACTGTATTTTAATACATGCTTCCAAAAATTATGTCACCTTGGCGAGTCTCATTTTCACGATTGAGACATTGGACTTTAACTCATGCCACATACATGAAAATGAGGCTCCTGTGACAAGGTGAAATACATTCCGGAAGCCGGAAGGGTGTATTTGACTTTTTTAAAAAATTATTGGCAGTAAAAAATTTAAAAAAACAAAAATGTATATGATTTTGATTTTAATTGCTATAAAACTTATTTACACTTCAATAAAGTTATCATAATCATATAATTATTTATGTTGTTATGCATGGTATTATAATTAGCTAATTCATTTTGTTGTTTTGCATGTTTTTCTGCATGTTGATGCCTCAGTGCCATCTCTTGGGTATATTAAACATATAATTTCTGCAAAATAAAAGATGACATTATTATCATGATACTTATACATCTTTACATCACAAAAATATCATATACACATATGTTAACCCTTCACAAGTGGCAATGTGTCTTGATATGCCTTACTGTATTATTTTAATCTACCTAACACCAGACAATTTTACTAGTCAAGGGGAGAATGCAATTACATGATCTGTTTTTACCAATGACCATTGATCTGAGCTTCAAAATTAAGTGTCATGTTTCAATATTCAGCAATGCAATTACATTCCTAACTGCTAAAATATGTCACACTTAACTATTATGAGCAAATTTCATCATAATTTCTCACAGGCCGTGTCATATATATATGTCCAATTGGACATCACTACTCCCAATGTTAGAAATCATGGGCGGATTTACTTGGGGTGGGGGGGGGTTAAACTCCTCTAATAAAGTGTTCAACTCCACCAAAAATTCTGCTTCAACCCTCCTATTTTGTGCGAAAGGCATTAACCCAAACGCCTAACCCCTGCCAAAGCTCACTGAGTGGTGCCGCTTGCACCCCACCAGAAATTTTTCTACCCCTCCTTTTAAATAAATGAAAATCCGCCCTAATTGTTAGAAATGTTGTAGCATTCCAAATTTACCTCATGATTAGTGTATCAGTGACTCACTTAAATCCCGGCAGCTTGTGGACAACATTTTTGTTCTTGCCATGTAACTATGACATCATACTGTGTAAAACTATATAGTTTTATATAGTTCTGAACAGACAATGGCAAAATGATATCTATTTTTAGTAAAATTATGAGTAAAACATCTGGATTTAATCTCAAAGATTGAGTAAAATAAGAAAGTAGCCAGGGTTCATTGCAGCTTAATGGGCTGACTATATATCTCGGGCTGCTCATTTGCAGATAGCTGTAATTAACCCACTGCGTCAGTCTGCGTGGCAGCAGGGAGCAGTCTCAATTCTCTTAAAATCGTCTGTAGACAGACAGAGTAAAATAATAAAGACAGTCTTTAGTGCTCATCGATCAGCCGACAGGGCACATACATTGTCACATGTAGGTGGGCCTCCTCAATAACGGCTCAACTCTCTCTGGTCTTGTGCTTATCTATATATACTAATTCTGCACTGTGATGGGCAAGTATATAAATTTTACACCATATTTAATAATTAACGTTTTAAAATATACGAACATGTAAACAACCACAATTTTTAGTATAAATTAAAAACTGGCAGTCTGGCAATAAAACCAAAAAGGCCAGTGCTGACACAAAACAACAATTTCATGTACACAATGTTTAATCGTTAACAATACTTTTATGTCCCCTATTGAAATATTCGCTGTATATATTAGGATTTTGACATAATATGAAGGGTCTAGTGACTGTAGCCGTCTAGAAAGTTATAAAAAAGTTTCGTGAATCTTACCTGAATGAATTAGTCTTTCTTTGTAGTCTTTGTAGCAAAATGCTGCATCCACAAGCGAAGCAAACTCGCACCCTCGCTCCGCGTTGTAAAACAAGTAATGTTCGAGGGAAATATTAAGATTTTTTAGCTCAAAAACAACAGAAAACTCGAGAGAAAACTTTATGATATCTATATCGTAATATTTGGCCCAAAAACCAGGGGGGTTAAGGACATCGTCGGAAGTTTAAGATCGCGGTTGGTCAGTGGCAGTTACCATGAAAATAAAGTAAGTGTTGTCATGGAAATGGCGTAATAGCCGCCATGTTTTCGGCTTCACTTGATGATGCCGAGCAGGTCCTCCAGTAATATAGTATAGCTCAGTGGTCTTACTGCTTGTTTTCAAACTATGTAATAGAAGAAAAGAAGAAGAAAAAGCCGGAGTATATATACTTAACATCTAAACATGACACTGGTGTGCGTAAATATAGCAAAGCCACAGAATTACAAGTGAGCAAGTGACCTCAGTGTACCTCAAAACCAAGCCGTTAAAAGTGAGTTTTTCATGTTTATTGGATTTAAAAAGAAAACTCCTCTACATGATTGTGCATTTTTATAACTATCCCATGCTTTTTCATCCGAAATAATCATTGTTTTATCTTCAAACTCCGAGTTTATCCGCCGTATAGCGATTTAAACGGTCTCAAGAGACCGTATACGTTTACACGGTGGATAGGCAAAATTTAACCGGTGGATAGCCCTAAACGGGCTTGATACAACGCGATTTCTCGAGCGTTTAAATTTTATCCGGCGGATAGAGAGTTAAACGGTGGTTAGCGAGTTAAACGCCTTTGATACAACCGGCCCCAGGCCACACCCAGGCTCGCAGATAGCATTCACAAGTTATGGCGTTTTATTTGAAGATCAATATCTGAAGAATATCCCAATCAACTTTCGTTCGGTTTCAGTTACGTCAGTAAATTCTTTCTTCGATATTGTACAAGTGTTGTTTTATTCAAATATGGCGTCAGTGCAGTGTCTCGTTGGTTCTTTGCTCCATTATTCATTAATCACAGTAAATGGTTTCGAAATGCATGTATTTAAATAACAGCATTCATAAAATTTTATACCACGGTAGAAAAGTCTTGATGTAAAAACGGAATAGTATAATGCCGATTTCGAAGCGTTTGCAAGCGAATCATTTTGGGGCTGTGACAGGGGTTAAAGTTTTATCCGATAATTTGTCAAAGGAACGTAGAAACAAAATAGAACAGTGTTGATGTGGTCGTCACAACGAAAGACAAACATGTCGTCGTGAAAAATATCAACAACCCCCTGCATGTCACAGGCCAACGCGACTATTTCAAATTATTGTAAATATATTCATGTTTACAAATTGTTATGGGTGCTAAACGTTTAGAAATCGGCATTAATCTTCAGTTTCTGCATCGAAACTTTCCTACATTGGTATATCTATGGATACTGTAATTTAATTAAGTTTCAAGACCATGAATTACAGCTGTGATTAATGGAGCAGAGAAGCAACGAGACATTGCACTGGCGCCATATTTGAATAAAAACTACATTGTACAATATCGAAGAAAGAATTAATTGAAGTAACTGAAACCGGACAAAACTTGATTGGAATATTTATCTTCAAACAAAAGCATAACTTGTGGATGATAGCTGCGGAGTCTCGACGATAAAAGACAACGTACGAAAAGGGCAAAACATGGCCGAAATCGCATGATGGCGGGGGATAAGTGTTGTAATCCACATTATATCTCAACAAAACAACATCATCCTTAATGCAATATATTAAAGTTATGTTTAGATAAGTATGAAGTAAGTTTCACGTAAAAAATATGTAGGGAAAAACAAGATAAGTCTTTGCACGGCATGTAAAGTTATATGATGTATACTCAGCATCTGACCTGTTATGTGTATGGTCATATTAGACCTATATATAGACATTTTTCATTCCCCATGCAATGACCACCCCTAAAAGCACCCATTCTGAACACCATAAGAACTTCAAAAAATGTGTAGCTTCAATAATTTAGTAGATAGGGCTATGTCGCAAGCGACGTTTCTGCTTGTGGACACTTTGGGACGTTTCGTCCAGAATTCGGGTTTCGGCACATATGCCATGTTGTCCGCCATGGTCAATATACTCTAAAATAGTTGAGACATCTGCCTTAAATGAAATGCACAGAAACTCATATACAGGTATTGGTCCTCTGCTAACGTTCTCGGCAGTTCCACCAGCTACCCTTCTAGGTTTGACAATAAACGGTATGGGCATGACATACAAATATCACGATCATAGAACACATTGGTATCGAAGGTACTAGATTAGACCGAAATACCACACACTCGGACAGACTTGGCCTCGTAGCTCAGTTGGCAGAGCATTGGATTAGTATCCCAAATGTCGCGGGTTCGATTCCCACCGTGGTCAGGCTACCTTTTCAGCCTACCCGGTGTGGTTATACACTCAGAGCAACATCAAAAATAATATACCTACCCTTTTCAGAAACTCCTCTTTCGTTCTTTGCAGCTCTTCTTTTACTTTTATAAATTTATTTTCCTCTTCCAACTCCTTCTTCACTTTATCTTCCCACAACTTCCTCTTCTCTTCCTCGTCTTCTTTCCAGATTTTCTCGAGCATATCGGCGGCTGATTGAAACTCTTCGCCTTGTTTGCGTAGCAACCGCCACACTGGTATGTAGCCCTCGGGCGGTCCTCGGCCGATAATAGCCCAGGTCGACTTGTACTTCAAGAGCTGGGCAAACGTCACGGGGTTGGATGCCAATGGCCCGACGACCTCTACGGAGAAACGATAGGTGGCGTTATCTTTCTTCACATGACTTGCTTCCTTTTTTCCCGAAGAACTGCTGTGTTCGCCGGTAACGCTGCCTCCCACCAGGAAAGCTCCATCAAAATAGCCACCGGAAATTGTATTTTGTAATCTAGTCTCGGCTGCCATGGTGAACGTGGACGTTTCGATGCTGGTGTCACTCTCGGCGTCTGCGATGCTGCAGAAAATTCCACCCAACGTGTGGACTCCGGAAGGTATATGGCTACCATATAATGTCATGAAGGAACGAGCTTTATTCTCACTGTCGCTGCCTTTTCCAATGTCTATTGCGAGTTGTAGTGCTGGTTTCGTCAAATTCATCTTGTCTTCTTCGATTTGGAATTGCTTCATTGCTATAGAATAGTACTGCATGACCGACACGCTTGTACACGAGGATTTCATTGTTCTTTGGCTTGCCCGTTTGACTTCGGATCCGAGCGAACCCTCAATTTCTGCGAGATAATAGCCACCAAATCCCTTTATAGCAGCGCCAACATTGCTGCTTGTCGACTTTATTGTTGAGAAAAAATTCGTGGCAGCTCCTTTCGAGGTAAATCTCAAAAAACTGCATCATGACATCATAATAATCGTCATAATTATCATCATCATCGTAATTTATTGCCATAAAATAAAGTAAAAAAGAAAAACGAAATTTAGCCGATGCGTACACGTCGTTTTCTTTAGTGTTCGATATTGTTTCAGGTAATAATTTACACATAATAAAAGTTTACTACAAACCTTTTTTGACTGCGTTCACCCGCCCTAAGCATTTTCACGTTTTCCGGTGCCAACAAGATCGGCTGACCCGCAGGTCTCGGAGAATCGTACTCAGAATGATAGATACCGAAGAGTGCCCGTCCTCCACTGGCTTCAGTGACAAGGTCCACGTTGCTTCTGTTGTTTGATACAACTTCTGATTCAAAAACTGTGCTCTTCTGCTCGATTATTTCGTTCAGCTCCTTCATCAATGCACTCGGGGCTACTTCTTCGACTTCAAACAAGTTAGGTGGCAAATCAAGAGCATGTAAAACAGCTGCGAATTTCTTATTTATCTCTTTCTTGTTGCTCGACGCTTGCATTGTGGCCATATGTTGTGCATCTTTCATCAGTTGCTTGGCTTTCTCTAGGTTTTCTTGGTCCTTTTTTTGCATTGTATATGGTGAAATAAACCCTGAAAAAATCACAGAACATGGTAATTAATATATCTGCGATGTACAGGCACGGAGGTGCATCTCAGAAAATTCGAATATAATATCTCGATAGTGATAGATGTTAGAATAGGATGTTTTCCCCGAGCCAACGGCACGGAACGCCGTTCCTGGCGCAAGCCCGGGGCGAGGGTACTAAT